TGACATTGGGATTTATCCTCAAACATTACAAAACCAAAACCTTTACTTTCACCATTCTTTTCCTTCATTAGTCTAACCTCTTTAACATTGCCTACCTTTTCGTTAAACAATTCTTTTAGTTCTTCTTCCTTAACATTTTTTGAAATACCGCCTATAAAAACTTCTAAATTTGCATCTCTATGTATATTATTATTACTACTGTTTGTTTGTATATTTGACTCTTGTTGATCTGTTTTAATTTTCTTCTTTTTATCATAGTTTTCATCTTCTTCGTCCTCTTCCCTTTCTTCTTCATCGTCAGAGTGCGAGCTTTTGATATTTGGACTTGTTGAACTACTATTTATTTTTCCATTTTTATTTATTATATTTGTTTCTTCTTCATTTAATAAATTCTTTTCTATTATTATTATATTATTTTTATTACTATTGTTGTTATTACTAATGTTTTCATCTTCATTCTAGAAATAATTAATTAATGATTTTTTTTTTTGAAATAATTTTTAAAAAAATTTAAAATTAGTGGGCATTTTTTTTTATTTTTTTTTTATTTTTTTATTGTAAAATTATTTTATAAATGTTATTATATTGCTTATATATGTTAACACTTGAAAAATAAAAAAAAATATATAGTTTTATTTTAAAGTACTTACATCTGATAACTTATTTAAAGAATCAGTGCTTGAAGTAGAGGATGGCATTTTATTTTTACCTTTTTTTTTTTTTTAATTATTTAATCAAAAAAATAAAAAACCTGCAAATTATGCAAGGAAAAAAATGTAAAGTTAGTTTTTTTCGTAAAATTATTTTTTATTTTTATTATATTTTTTTTTTTTTCAAAATAAATAAAAAGAGCTTTCCCTTCCCAAAAAATAATTTTTTTTTTTTTTTTTTTTTTTTTTTTTTTAACGTTTATAATAAAAAAAAAAATATTGAATTCTAAATGAATTATACTAATGAAATTTTTTTTTATTAATTATTTAATTAATTATGATTTAAAAAGATTTAATTAATTATTATGGTATCTATTATTTTATTGGTTGTTGCTGTTATTGCGCACTGTGGTTGATTTTTAAATATATTATTGCTATATATACTTTGATTAAAATAGATAATGTTGATTTATATTAAAATGTGTGGGTGGGAAAATAAGAATTAAAAAATATAAATGAATAAATAATGAATAAATAAATAAATAAATAAACAAAATATTTTATTGTAAATTATTATTATTATGTTAATAGAAAAGAATTTTAAAAATTAAAATAAAATTTTATTATTTAAATATCGCCATAAAAATAAAAATAAAAAAAATAAAAAAAAAATTAAATTAATATTTGTCGTTTAAATTGAAATTGAATTGAAACGAATTTAAGCTTGTTACTATTATTATTATTATTTTTATTATTATTATATTTTAATTGTTGTTTTATTTTAAATTAATATAATCATTGATTTCATTTTATTACGTAATGAACAATTAATTAATGTGTAAAAACAAAAAAACAATAGAAAAAAATAATAAAATAAAAAAATAAAAAAAAATAATAAAAATTAAAAAAAACTAATTAGTAGCAAGCGAAAACCCTAAAAATAGAAAAACCTTTGCTCATTTGAATTTTTTTTTCATTTAAATTTAATTTAATTTTTGTTTATTTGGGACGATATCAATGAATTTGAACATTTGATAGATATTAACCACTGCTTCTAACCCACACATAAACACAAAACATTGTGTGTTAATACGTTTCATACCACCCACACCAAAAATCGTAAAACACAAATTATTCTAAAATGCGTGTGTGAATTTTAAAAAATAAAAAAATTTTAATTTTTAAAAAAAATTTTTTTATTTTTTAAAAATGAAAATACGTGGGGGGTTATTGTTCACAAATTAAAACAAAAAAAAAAATATATTTTTGGTAAACCAAACACAAATTAAAACAAAAAAAAAAAAAAAAAAAAAAAAAAAAAAAAATATTTTACTTTTTACAAAAGAGATCCCAAATTATATAAAATCTATTTCTTTTAATAATTTAAAAATTAAATGGATGGGCTTTCGAAATTTTGGCATTTGCGGGTTTTCCACCTATCAATAATATATCTGTTAATGAATTGATAGTACTTTGAACTTTACAATTATATTTGCTTTCCAAAATATCTTTAACGGAATCTCTATCACCTATACTTAATTTACCAGTAATTACAATATTTTTTTTATAAATCGGATTATCTATATTTATGTTCTTTGATTCTATATTATTATTATTATTATTATTATCATTATCATTATCATTATCATTATCATTATCATTATCATTATCATTATCATTATCATTATTATTATTTGTATATGATAAATTTAAATTATTTTCTTTGAATTTATAAATTAAAAAGTTTATATACTCTTTTTCTGTTGGATCAATTGGGTTAAAATAATTATAAATAGCTTCAGAAGTTTGCCTGCCTAGTTTTGATTGATTTTCAATTGATTGTATAGATGGAGCATTTATGAGATTATCCAAGTGCTGGAATTTTTGTGCAAGTATTTTTGAATTTGCTCTGCCTATACCTGGTATACCCATGCCACATAGTAAGGATGATAATCCTCTTGATTTACTTTCTTCGATTGCCTCAAGCATATTATTAACTTTAACATGGTTATATCCTTTAAGTTCTAGTAGCTGAGATTTGTATTTTTTTAAGAGATAAAGGTCACCTGCATCTTCTATAAAATTGTGTTCAAAAAGATCTTTGATTTGAGATATACCAATACCTTTAATGTTCATTGCTTTTTTATCCACAAACCAAGAGATTTCTTGAAATTGTTGATCTGGACAATTGCTATCAACACAAAAATAATCAATATAGCCCGGTTTTTGAATTAGTTCAGATTCATTTGCACATGGACATACTAAATTACCATTTGAATTACATTTAAATATATTTTTTAAATAGCCATCTTCTGGTTGCAGTTGCTGTTCTTGTGGCTGTTGTTCTGGTACGTTTATTTTGCTAATGATTTTGGGTATAACATCGCCTGCACGTTCTATTAAAACTTTTGAGCCCTTGTTGAGTTGGAGTTTTTGAATATAATTTAAATTATTTAGTGTTGCTCTTGATATTGTCACGCCATGAATTACAACTGGATCTACTAGTGCGACTGGTGTAACTTTACCAGTTCTACCAACTTGTAATACTATATCTAAAATGGTGGAAACTTCACTTTTCGCGTTAAATTTATATGCAAATGCCCATCTAGGTGATCTATTGATATCACCAAGTTTAGTTTGAGTATCTATACTGTTGATTTTTATAACTATACCATCAATATCCCATTGAAATTTGAATCTATTTTCATTCCATTTTTCGATATATTGTTGAATTGGGCCTATATCATGTGGCTGTTTATTATTTAGTGTTGGTAATGATATAACATCTGCACCTGGATCAACTTGAAAACCAATTGATTTTAATAACCCTAATCTACTTGATTGTGTGTCACCATTGATAGTTTGATTTTTATTTGATGGAATAAAATTGTATGCAAAAAAATCAAATTTAATATTGTTGTGTAATAGTTGTTCGATATCATTCTTTTTGACGTTGCTGCTGCTGTTGCTACTATTGTCATCATCTACATTGTTTTCATTGTGTTGTTCGTCGTCTATTTCGATTAAATTCTTTCTTAATATGCCCGATACTATATTTCTTGTATTTTTGTATTGGTGTGTGTCGTTATTATCTGATTTTATTTTATTTATAGTTTCTAAATATGTTTTGTTTAATACCACTTCGCCTCTAATTTCAAACTCTTTATAATTCTTGATTTAAAAAAGTTAGAACATCAATTGTATTGAGTTTAGTATAAATTAGTTACTTACAGAATATTGATTTGGTAGTTTTAAATTAATTAGTTTGTTTAGTTGCGGTATAAATTGTAATGCATTACTTGTGATATCTTCACCAATTTCTCCATCACCTCTTGTAAGAATTCTTACTAGTTTTGAATCAGAGTACACCAAGCTAATACCAATACCATCATATTTCAATTCCATAGAGTATTCTAGGTTGTTGATTCCAAATGATGATAGAGTATTTAGATCACTATTTGAGGTTGTGTTATTCTCCAGTTTTAATTTCTTTAAAAGAAATTTTTCTATTTTGTTTTTAAAAGATTGAATATCTTCAAGAGAGTATGTGTTTTGTAGTGATAACATTCTAGTTGTATGCCTATATTTGTTGTTGTTGCCATTGCTTCTAACTGGAGCACCTACTTTATTTGTTATTAATGATGCATTATCGTTGCCATCTTCGTCATTATTGATCTGTTTTTCTAATGATTCCAATTTTTTAAATAGCTTGTCGTATTCATAGTCAGATATTTCACTTATTGATTTGTTGTAATACAAGTCATTATATCTTTTAATTTTATTTCTCAATTCGTTTATTTCATCGTTATTATTATTTATATTATTTATATTATTTATATTACTTATATTATTACCCCCAATATTATTATTATTATTTGATGAATAATATCTTACTATTTTAAAATTATTAAACTTTCTGTTAATTTTTACAAAATTAAATAATTTGAGCATTTGGTTAATTTTTTTTTAATTTGTTTGAAAAATTTAATAAAAAAAAATTTTTAAAAATATTTTATTTTTATTTTTTATTATTGTGAAATTATTTTTTTTTTTTAAAATTTTTTTTTTTTAAATTTTTTTTTTAAAAAAAAAAATCATTTATTTTTTTTTTACAAACAAATCAAAACAATATAAAATGACAAGTTGGTATCTTAATTTATAGATTTATAATTAATAATATTTTATAAACGATTTTTAAAAATTTTTTTAAGTCTAAAAAAAAAAAATAGTTATAATTATAAAATAAATAAAACTAAAATATAAAAACTAACAATAAATTAATTTAATAGGAGGTAATCAAAGAGATATCGATAGAAAAAGAGCTGAAGCCAGATCAAAGAAAGCTCCAGCCAAGGGTATGGGTGATGTAAATGCTAGAAAAGAAAAAGATGCCGCTGAAATCGCCAAAAAACAAAAACTTTTTGAAGAAAAGAAGGCTAAAGAAGCTGAAGATGCCAGATTGGCTAAATTAGCCGAAGCTGAAGCTAAAAAAGCTGCTTCCCAAGCTAAAGGAGCTGCACCAAAGTAAATAGTTATAACATAAAATAATAATATAGCAGTCATTGGATAGGTATGGTTTTTATATCTATCAAAACAATACAATAACAGCAACTAAAACCACAACCACTACAAAAACAATGTAAATAAAAATGTAAAACATAACCAAAACTCTTTTTTTTTTTTTTTTTTTAAAAAGAAAATAAACCATAGTTTATTTTCTATCGTTTTTTATTAAATTTATTATTTATTTTGGATTAGTTTTTAACAAATAGACTGAATCTTTTCTTGAATGATTGGGTAGTTCTGTTAATACTTGGATTTGGTTTTTCTTGGTCATATTTATTTTCATAGTGTATAATTTTCTTTACATTGATTTTGTGTTTCATAATATAGTTTATGAAAAGATCTTCATCCATATCGAAATTTTCAAATGATCTTAATATATTATAACATTTTTCAAAGCTATCTTTATTTTCTAAAATTAATTCTAAATATTAAAAAAAAAAAAAAAAGAAAACTATATTAATATTATTTACTAATTAAAATTTAAAAATAAAGTATATACTTACTTTCGTTTAATCTAAATAATGACATTGCTACTGAATAGACAATAAAATAACCTTCTGAAAAAATTAAATCCCAAATACGTAATGCAATATGGAATGGGAATGAATCTAAATAACCAATTAAAAACCATTTAGTTGTGTATAGTGGTGGGCCTAAATAAATATCATCTAAAGCTTTCTTTAAGGTTGGGAAATAGTCATTTAAGAGATTTTCAAATACATATGCCATTCTTAAGAAGCCTGGTAAACCTGGTAAGAAAATGGGTCGTAGGTTGTATTCTGGACGATTCATTAGAGCTTGTAATGTCCAAAAAGCGTCTTCTTCGGGTAAATACATGACCAATAGCGATGCGATGCTACTCATACCTTGTGTATATCCAATGTCACGGTCGTGAATTGAGTATGCTTTGAGTACATTGAACAGAGATACTTGACCAATACCATAACGTTCACGGAAAAAGATATGGTTTCTAAAAGCACGATTAACATCTAGATCGATTGCAACTTCACTTTCTGAATGTGAGTTTACATATTGGTCATAGAGGCCTTTGTTTTTTTCTTTTTCTATAGTTGCCATTGATAAGAGTAACCAAACCTCTGAACGCATTCTATCTGGTATACCTTTAATTGAACGTGATCTAACTTTTAATGGTCTCTTTTCAGGTCGTTTAGCCCATTTCTTTGTTAACTTGGTCCATTTAATGGAACGCTCCAATTCCTTTTCGATTTCTTTTTTGTTTTTTTGTTTACTTATATTGGTAGTTAGACCACTATTCATTGTTGATTTTCTAGAGTATTTACGACCTACACCACTTTGTAACTCTAGTTCTTTTTCTTGTTGTTGATGTTGTTTATCTGTTAGTTCTATGTCGTTTGTTACCATATTTTGGTTACCATTACTGCCATTTGAATCTTGAATGTTACCATAACGATCTAATTTGCTAAAAATTTTAACATCTTTATAATCTGTATAGTCTTGAGCACTATCATTGAATGATGGACGTCCTTTGCCAGATGGGCTTGGTATTGCGAGGTTGATTTGTGCGGTTTTTCCTCTTGGTCTATAATGATATCTAACGGAAACATCACCGCCATTGTGTGTTAATGTGGTTGCAATGTCATCAAAACCACCATCGATCGCTAAATGAAGAGCAGTTTTCTTTTTCAAATCTTCATGGTTCACATTGCAACTCTTTAAAACCAATAATCTTGCACATTCTGTATTTCCATTTGCACTTGCAATAATAATTGGTGATCTTGATAATGAATCGAGGATATTAACATCTGCTCCGTAGTCTAACAATAAATTTAAAATTGATGAGTCGCCATTTCTAACTGTTAAATGAATTACACCCTCTTTATCTGCTGGCTTTTTATAATAGCTGAGTAATGTCTCTAAATCTTCTACATTTGCAATACCTGTTGCTGATGCTGCTACTGTTGATGATGATGTTGATCCTAATTCTTCATTGTTTGGGCTGCTTAAAGTGCATAAATAATTTGGATCGGCACCATATTTTAGTAATAAGAATACGATATCATTATAGCAATCTAATTCTACAGCTGTATATAATAGTGTTTTACCTTTTAAAATTCTATTTAAAATTGGTTTGAAGTTGAAGTGTTTATTATTTTCATCAATTTCTTTTTTAATTTCTTCATGGTTTATTTCTTTTTCGTACATTCTACTTGTGTGTTTAGGTGGTTTATTTTTATGATTTCTATTTTCATTTTCATTTTCACTTTCATCGTTGCTATCGATTTTATTTTCTTCATTATTTTTTGATAGTTTTTTTAAAAGTTGACCTAATAGATTTGAATTATTTTCTTTAATTGCATTTACAATTTTTTCAAAAATTTCATTATCATTTAGAGATTTAACTTCTGGTGTTTTAATTATATTTTTATCATCATTTTCTATTATTACATCGTTGTCATTGGTTTCGATTTCTTTATTTATCTGTTCATCATCTTTGTTGTTAATCGATTCTTTTTCTATTGATACATCCTGGTTAGTTTCCATTTTTTTAATATAATACAAAAAAAAAAAAAAATTAAACAATTAAAATACTAAGAAAATATATTAAAATATATATAGAAATTTTGATTATTAATTGTTTAAAAAAATGAAAACATAATTTATAAAAAATAAAAAAAATAAAATAAAAAAAAAAATTTTAAAAAAAAAAAAAAAATTAAAAATTAAAAAAAAAAAAAAAAAAAGAAATTAATTCCAAATATATCTAAATATATATATATAAATATATATAAATAAAGCTTTTTAAAAAATATATTTATTTATAAATTAAAAAAAAAAACCTAATAGATAGGAGTTTTTGATGAATAAAAATTTTATTTTATCAATGCCTGATATAAAACTTTGCGGCAATTTTTAAAAAAAAAAAAAATGATTTTTTATCCACAATGTGAAACCGCAGCCCCCTATTACTTTCATCTTTCTTGAGTTTATCTCTTTCTTTTTGACAACGTTTTAAATTTGCAATGGTATCTTTATCACCATTTTGGTAATTGATTTGGCATTTGTTAAAAACTCTTGAGTTTAATATTTATTCTTTTTGCTTTATGTAACTTAATTGATTCAATACAGCCAAAAAAATTTCAGAATAAAATTTATTAATTTTTTTATTCTGAAATTTTTTTTAAAAACATTTTTCTCTTTGATTTCTTCTTTGCATTCATCGAGTTCTTCATTTATTTCATCCCACACCACGAACCACACACTTTTTTATTCTGAATATTCTATCATTTTTTGTCATATTTATGTAATTTTATGTAAAAATGGTAAAAAATGTAAAAATATGAAAAAAAATGAATATTCAGAAAAAAAAATTTGTGGTTCGAGGTGTAATTTCTTATATTTGAAGGTGCTGATGGTAGTTTAATTGGTCTAAAAAAATGAATATCCATGCATACAGAAAGAAAGAACACTTCAGTATCCAGATCATCTGGAAGTAACCGCTATTATAAATCTACTGCACATTAAAAAAAATTTATTTTTTTTATTTTATATTTGTATATACATTATTTTTTTATTTTAGCGATATCAAAAATTAATTTGTTTTATTTTTAAATAAATAAATAAATAAATAAATAGTTTATTTAATTTTTTTTAATAATATTATTATTATTTTTATATTATTGTATAAGAGTATTATTATTAATGTTATCTTTTTTTTTTTTTTTTTTTTTTTTATAATTATTATTTTTATTATTGCTATAAATTATTTTTATTTTTAAACATATTTTAAAATTTTAATTATTTAAATATATATTTATATTTTAATATATTTATATAATTAGTTTTTGAAATATTTTTAAAATTTGAAATATTTAAAAATCGCAAATATCAAATTCCTTTTTAGGACAAATCAATTCTAATAATATAGTTTCTTTTTCTGTGACATCAATTGGTACCTGGATTGTTTTATTTACTACACAATCATACCAATTTTCATCTATTTTGACTTCTAGTATTTTTCTTTCGTTATTACATCTATTGATCCAACAAGCTATTTTCTTTTCGTAGCTTACTTTTTTGAAATTACTGTTTATAAAAGAGTAGTCATAGTTATCGTCGTCATTATTATCATTGTTGTGATTGTTGTTATTGTTGATATTGTTTATGCTGTTTCTATATTCCTCACCTGTTCTTGGACGATATCTTTGTTGATTGTTGCTATTGGTATCATTATTGCCATTGGTTCCATTATTGTTACCTGTAGAGTTGTTATTGTTACCACTATTGCTTGATGTATCATTTGCGATATATATAATATTATAGTTGAAACATCTACTATCAAAACCAAACTCCTCTTTAATGGCTTTATTTGGTTTCTCTTCAGTGTTTGAACAGTAACCACATTTGGGGCAATTTACAGAATGTACAGTTTGATAGAATGGACAATAATCTGATGCTCTGTTTGAGCCACCAATGGAGGTAGAGTTAAAGTGTTGATAAAATGCTGGCAATGATTCAGTATATCTAACTAGATGACAAATACCTTTGCCCATTCTATTTGCAGTGCAATCCATCTCTCTAAAATTAGTACAATAATAACCTGGTAAATCCCATGATTTTGGATCACAATTCTTGAGCCAATCACATCCTAATCCTTTTCCCCATTGATGATTCTCTGAAAAGCTAAAGTTTGGTATATACCATCCAGTATCGTAAAGAAAAGTTAAAGTTAATCTGCTAAGAGGTAATGTTTGTGAAATGTAACCAGTCATAATCTCTTCATCTGCAGATCTTTTTTCCCAATGACTACCTGCTGTACCAGCTCCTCCATAATCCTCTAGCTCGAAACCCTGTGCTGTTGAACAATTGAAATAGTTTTTGGTGAATTTAACAATGGTTGGTGTTGCTATTACTGATTTATTTCTAACAAAGTGTCTACCTAGAGGTGTTGTACCATCTTCTTGTATTACTTTTGCAATTTGATTTGAGTCGAATCTGTATGGAATACCTGTATCTGGGTTTACAAAGCTGTCATATAAAAGTGCGGAGAAGCCCAAAGAGTGCACCATTTCATGTATACCAACCCTCATATATTGATTAAAAACCCATTTGCTTTGACTTTCTAAAATCTTTGAAAAGTAATTTGGGTTAAAATTTAATATACTAACACGTGGTCTATCATAAATCCATTCGTTGGTACCTATATAGAGAATGGGTGCATCGCAAATTAATGAAAATGCAATGGTCATTGAATCTTGAGTTGGGCGTGCTGTGATGAAAACATAATGATCAGTATCGTTTTTTCCTTTGGTGTAGAGTTCCTCTGGTATATATATTCCTCTTGTACACTGGACTGGTTTCTTATCATCTGGATTATTTTGAAGCTTTAAAGTTTTATCTGGATTACGGACTGACAATAGTGTTGAAAAAATTTCAAAGGTTGCCTTGACCACATAATCCCTTAAAAGAACCTGTAAATCTTTGCTTTGAATGTCTTTCTCTTTACATGAATAAAAACAAGGTACATTTGCAACTTCACCGTACATATCCATTCTACAGAGTTCTTTTGGTTCATCGTTCGTCAAACCCATAGGTATGATATCGCCCACTTTATAACAAGCATTTCTATCATTGAATCCGTTTATAAAAGTATTATTTATAAAAAATCTGATGGAATTCCTGACAAATATATTATTTATTAAATTTTTATTATTATATATTGGCGAGGGTGTGGGTTTTTGAAATGAATCTGAGGTGGTTGCTGTGTTAGTTGTGAAACGTTTATTTTGTTTTTCTGGATCGCTATCTTTATCGAATTGATTTAGTAACTCTTTATTACAGTTTTTCATTGGTAGTGTTACTTTATTAAAACTATGATGTGATTTTGGTTTTAAAAATCTATGATTGATTTCATCATGTTTACAATTATATCCATGTAGTTTAAATTGCTTATTATATTCTGAATTTTGATCTTCATCATCCTCATTCTCTATCGATGCTGATGATGATGCTGATGCTGATGCTGATGCTGATGCTGATGATAGTGTAGTATCGTTTATTATTTTTATTTGCTTTTTGCTTCTTATTATTTCGACATATTTCTTTCCCAATTGAGAACCTTTAAAACTATTGAAATAATTATCTATTATATTAGTTATCGATTTGGTGGTTGATTGATCATTAAAAAAACTACCTTCATCGATTCTACAATAACTGGGACTGGTTCCTACAATAAATATAATAAATAATAACACTAGCTTTATTAACGTCTTAAAGTTTATCATTTTAAAAAAAGAAAAAAAAAAGAATTTTTTTTTTTATTTTTTATTTAATTTTATTTTAATTTTTTTTTTATTTTTAATTTTTTTATGTGCGTTTGAGTAGTGTGTATGTGTGTGTGTGTGAAAAGTGTGTTTGTGTTTATATTTATAAAGTGTTTTTTAATTTTTATATAAATAATAATAATGAAAAATTATCTATAAATAAATTTTAGGATTTAAGAAAAAAAAATTTTTAAAATTTTAAAATTTTTAAAAAAAAAAAAAAAAAAGACAATTAAATATAAATAAAATAGATATATTTAGAAGGTTAATTATATATTAAACAAATAACCAACTATGACAAATTGGTGCCAATTAATACAAAAAAAAAAAAAGTTTAACGATAAAACAATGAAATGAAACAATAAATATTTATAAATACAAGATGAACATATTATAAAAGTATACTATATATATATATATAATAAAGTATATATACACATATGTATCGTGTCACTGTGAGTGATAATAACTAA